AATCTGGCATCGCTTCAATTAGTACGTGTGTGGAAATCCCCGCTACAGTGCCTCATAAGAATTATCCGCTGTCAAACACAATCTATACGAAATAAAACACAAAGGCTTGCATTATTGGCAAAGCATTCACAACACCATGTGGAATTATCAAATAATGCAATTACCGTTAAGGATAGTTTCTAAATAATTATATCAGACCGATGAATATATCTCACGATTGCAAGGACAACAGCAATCGTGAAAAAGCAATATATTTTATCGCTTTGGATTACAAATAGGCACAGATTGTATCTCGCGATGATTAAATGATCATTTATCTTGTGCAATGTGCATGCAACATGGTAAAACAACAATCCACGACATTGCATTCATTCTGCTTGGGAGGCAAAGAGTTGTTTAATATGGAATAGCGATGGCTTAATGGCTTCGATTTGCATAGAGTATGAGCCCCCCCTCCCCCCCCCCCCCAACGCTGAGTCCCTCAACACCGCACCTTCTCACCTCCATCAACCCACCTCAAAACCCCGATGTACAACAATTTGCTCCCACGCCTGTAGAGTAGCCCCCACCAATCATCATCTGCACAGTTTAAACCCACGCTGGGAGGTTGGGCTACGCGGTGGGGCTGCTTAATAGCTCAAATCCCGCTAATGAGTACGCCGTGTCAACATCGCATCGGTTCACGGGCTGTCGTACTGCTGCATGCAGCAGCAGCAGCAGCCCCTCTGGATTCGTCCCCACTCAGCTGGCGGGTGTAGATTATCCCGTGTCCCGTGTTTCTCGCATTCAACCCAGAGGCCACCGCTGCTAAAGAGTGTAGCGGTGTGCAGCATCAAGGCACGCTGTCGGATGCCCCCGCGGTCCCAGCGAGCCATGGGGCCATTGATTGGTTTGGCTCTGAAGACAAAATAATCTCATTAACCCGGAGTTTTATGACTTCGAGCCCGTTCAGCTGAACGCAGTTTGTTTATGATGTGATCCGCATATTTACGGTGCTTACTTTGGCCATGAGATTGGATCGTGGTAGCCTATACTTGCACGGTGTGTTACTTATTCTTGCCTGAAATATGCTGACCCTTGACTCGAGAATCATATAACAGTACAACTACTGTCTGTAGACATTCACGATTGTGCTATATGGCTCTCCGATGTGTTTTCAGATTATACCGGATGTTGAACACCATGATGTTGAACTTTTGCTCTGTGTTGCTAGAAGCTTCTTAAGGAACTGAATTGATTCAGTTACAGAAAAAACTCCCAGCACGCACAGCGAAATGTCAGATAGCATGTCAAACAACATGCACTATAACCCTAAAATATATCGGAGAGCCATTCAAGAGTAAGTTTTATTGATAAAAAAATATAGCCACCAGCTTAGAGAACAAGCAGGAAGAAAAAAAACTGTACCTAAATGTAAAGTAGCATTAATTGTTAATATATATAACATAATAATTTTCAGAGTCAAATCCACATTCTGAAAGTCAAAAATCGGTAATGCCGGTAGCTTCGTTCAAACCCCATGGCACATGCAACTCTGATTGGTCAGCGGAAGCCATATTGAGGCACCAACGACACAGCTAAGTCACTGCGTGGTACATTAACCCTCGTTTAGCAGTTAAAAGGTGAAGGTGCAGGCCTGTTATTGCTAACTCAGGCCACTGCTGTTGGGCTTCCAGTCGAGGGAGCTCGACAGGGGATTTGAACTCTTTCACACTGGCTAGATTTATTTGAAGAGGTGAGAGTACCCACACTCTGAATTTAATCAAATTGGTGATCGCTGGATTGCAAGTAACAGACCTCATATTATTACGTTAGAATACTACCATCACCTACCCATTTCTACTCCTATGTCTTCCACATAGGCGAGTTCAGAACAGAATCCTGTGACATCTTATTTGTAGCTGCATTAACGTTGCGCTGAAGTCCAACCACTGTTGTCCCCAAGATCATTTGGCAAACAACTGATGAAATGTGCAGGTGTGTGTGTGAGGGAATGCTTTGTGATTGGATATGTTCTCGACGAAAATTTATGCTGCTAAACTTTAATTATGCAACTTTTGTGTTACATCTCCGTAATGGAGTATGACCCTTCCTGTATCCTTCAAGAAGATGTTTGCTGTGAAAATGAACGTAGCTATGGGTGGTGCGGAGGGGAGGGGGTGGTAAATGGGAGGAGAGGGATGTCCCAGATGAAACAAACACATAACGCAAAACATGTGTAAATTCGGCCACAAAAACGTGTACCGTTTCTAACTATGCAGAATGGGGGTGATTTCAAAAATAATTCGCCTTGTTTTTTGTTGCTTATGTAATAGGGTCTTTTTTGCTGAAGCGTTTGCCAAGTCACAAACAAGTACAATGGGGTCATTACCTCTCAAGGAAGCCAGCGTGCTATGAAGAAGGGCCATGGCCCCGAAGCGTTGCCTGTTATGTTGTTGTTTATCTTTTAAGGCTGAGGTGTTATTTAGTTTTCAGTTTCATTTATTAGGTATAGCCCTGTGAGCCATGCACCTTGAATTGGGTGCAACCGCAACAAACAAAAACGCTGTGTGCAAAAATCCCAGTGGGATGCAAGTCAAGCAATAACAACCATAAGACAATTTAGATTAAAGTTATCAGTCTAACTCTGTACTACAACAAACAAACATGGCTAAACCGAAACGTTTTCGAAATCACCAAAATAAAGCTATAAAAACAATCTAACAGTGGTCATAGGAACTGATTCAAATTTATCAATATGCGATATACATAACATGTACGACCAAACTTTGCAGCCATAGCTGGCAGCATGAGTCACTCCATAACAGCAGGAGTATCAGTAGGAGTATCAACATTTCAAAAATCATAGACTTACAGGGACCCATATTCATAAAGACCCATACTCATAAAGACCCACATTCATAGATACCTACAGAGACCCAGACCCATACTCATAGACTCACAGACACCCACAGAGACCCATACTCATAGACACCCAGTTATAGAGACCCACAGAGAGCCATACTCAGGTACCCACAGACACTCATAGACACACTCAGAGACCCTTACTCATAGAGGCCCACAAAGACCCATACTCAGAGACCCATACTCAGAGACCGACAGAGACCCACAGAGACCAATATTCAGAGACCCACAGACACCCACAGAGACCCACAAAGACCCATACTCAAAGAGACCCATACTCAGAGACCCACAGAGACCAATACTCAAAGAGACCCAGTCAAAGAAACCCACAGAGACCCATACTCATAGCAACCCACAGAGACCCATACTCAGAGAGCCATACTCACTCACAGACATCAACAAAGACCGATACTTAGAGAACCTCACTCACAGTTTACACCACTCCCTCCCTACGGTCTGCCCGGGGGAGAGCTGTTGCCTTTGTGAGAATGGAAACCACCACCTCCACCACCTCCACCACCTCCACCACCTCCACCCGCACCAGCACCACCATCACCACCAGCACCACTATCACTGCCAGCACCACCAGCACCACTACCACCATCACTCACATCTTCTTCTGTTACTGAATGTGTTGAGTTAGTTTTAATAACCCAGAGATAATTGTTCGTGAATTCAGCTGTTCCTGTTGTCTTGCCTAACTTTAAAAAAATCTGGCATGGTTTCACACTTCCAGATGTTGCTGTGTGAAGGAAAATATGTCTTAAATATGTTAAAATGTTATGAACTCGAGATTCATTTGTTAATATAAATTGCACAACTGCATTTTTTTAGGTTTTTTTTAATATTAAACATGACATTTAGAAACGTATGGAATACATTACCCTAAAGTTGCAATTAATTTGTGTTTATATAGCTCGTGGTTTTTGGCAGTCACTTGCTCTCTGGTTCCAAATATGTCTGCACTTGAGCGAATGCTGCTGGCTTGTAACAATTCATCCGCCCAGTTGCTTGCAATTCAATTATTCTCCACAATTTGTGATGATCCAATTTCATAATAAACATTTTTTAATCCAGTTTTTATTATCTCCATTGTGTTATCCGTCTCCTGTGTTCTGTCTTGGTGCTGTTATCTTAACTGTAAATAAATAATACATTCGGTGCATTTATTTAATGCAGAAGAATCATGGAACCATATGCGTCTGATTTGAGCAAGGAATTGTTGCGTTTAAGTAGGTGTGTAACAATGAATCGTTCCGTCGATTAAACTCGTCAAAGTCATGATTCACGCATCTAAGCGGACACTTCAGCATCGATTATTTCTGACATTACCATATATTGTAAGTTAAGGGGTTCCCTGGATCCTTGCAGCCACTACAATGTTAAAAAAATAGATTTTGGGAGCCAAATCGTCACAATGTATTGACACAGATCTCCAAAGATCGCGGGTACATCCACGAGCAGCTCCGGCTGAGCTGACAACTGCACTTGCAGCACCCCCAAGTGGCTGGACTTGAGCATGACTGTGAGCAAGGAATTAAGACAGACTCGACAAACTGCGCCAGCTTGCTCTGCTCACGCGTGGAGCTCGCCCTGGTGATTGAAGTCAGAGCCACTCCATCAAGCATCGCAAATTGGCAGTTTGGCAGTCGGAAACATACTTGCAGTGCTGCCCTCACCCCTCATAAACTATGTTGCTGTGCAAGTATCTGGTTCAGACTCCACTTTTGAGTACGAAGTGTACGGTGCGAAGATCTTTCGCACCGTACGTAGCCAACCGTGATCATCGGAAGTGTGGGGGTAGGACAACAAAAGCTAAACACTAAAAGTACTTCTGAAGAGTTGAGTTAATGTATGTATGCATGTTGAACTTCTTTGGCACGCCTTGTTGTATTGGGGATGTTTCACGCCTTGATGTATTTATTGAAGGTTAGTTGGCCAAAACGTCGAGGTCTCAGTGTGAAAAGTAACCTGTTATTATCTAAATAGTCTGTTACTTTGTGTATACGTTGACTGAAACAGCAACCTTGATACGTGTTGTTTGATGTTGATATCCCTGATGCATGACGCTGATATCCCTGATGTCTCTGCTGCAGGATGGCTGGAGTCAGCAGCACTTCTTGGTCCTCAGCACCATGGAGAGGGAACGGAATAAACCGCGCGCCGTCTCGCAGCCGGCATCGCCCACGCGTGCTACCGCCGCCATCCGCAGCCAGTCGGGTGGGACACATACACACCCACACACACCCACACGCACAACTACACGTGCACACGCACACAAAGATCCCCCATATAGCCTTAACAGACTGTAGGGGCAAGTGCTGTTAGCGAGCACCTATGAAGGCCGGAACGGTACACGAGGGGGTGGGTGGCCAGCACCACGCCCGACCGCCTTTGTCTCCCTAGTGGCAATGTTTACACACCGCACCAGGTACTCATTTGAGGCTGAGTCGACCTAGGGGAGGCCTGGGACCGGTTCAGATAATCGTCACTGGTGTTGGCCGTGAGCGGGAATCGAACCCTGGTCGCCAGGTTCATAGCGCAGCGCGCTAACCGCTACACACGCACACACACCCATACCCACACGCACAACTACACGTGCACACGCACACACACCCATACCCACACGCACAACTACACGTGCACACGCACACACACCCATACCCACACGCACAACTACACGTGCACACGCACACACACCCATGCCCACACGCACAACTACACGTGCACACGCACACACCCATACCCACACGCACAACTACGCGTGCACACGCACACACGCACAACTACACACGCACACACGCTCACACGCGCACATGTACTAAGGCAAAGAAACAATGTAAAGCCAGAACAGACTCGTGGGGCAAGTGCTGTTCACGAACAACTGTGAAGGCCAAACACGACGCACGAGGGGGTGGGTGACTAACACTGACGAGCCACCTTTGTTTCCTCAATGGCGATATTTTAACACCGCACCTAGCTACTCATTTAAGGCTGAGCTGACCTAAAGGAGGCCATGGACAGGTTTATGCACTACTTGCCACTGATGTCAAATGTGACTACAAACTTAACTCGTCAACCTTGGGAAGGCCTAAGACCAGTTCATATATTGTCTCCTGTTATTGGTCATAAGCGGGAATGGAACTTGGGTCACCGGGTTTGTAGCGCAGTGCCCTAACCACTGCTCCACCGCTCCCCATTTACACAACCTACACACACACAGAGCTGTGTGTGAATGAAGGCTGGCATAGCACATGAAGGGGCAGGTGGCCAGCACCATGCCTGGCCACCTTTGTCTCCCTAGTGGCAATGTTTATATACAACACCAGGAACTAATTCGAGGCGTCGATCTTGGGGGAGTCCCAGGACCAGTTCGGATATTCATCACTGGTGTTGGCCCCATGAATGAGAATCAAACTCGGGTCATCAGATTCGTAGCGCAGCGCGCTAACTGCTGCACCACCGCTCCAAACAACCTACACACCTTAGATGCACACTTATAGGTACATTTACATAGATTTAGACACACGTAAAAATTAAATTTATTGCTCATGATTCATGCAATTGAATGTAGTAGCTCTAGTGCCTGCAGAAGTCAAGTGAACCTTTGACATACAGCATACATGAAGCGAAAGATTGTCAATTCTCACACACACTAGTCGCCGCATGTACCTGGCACGTTATATAAAATTTTCACGTATTAATCATTGCTTACCTAGTGTGGCACTGTCAGTCTTAAAGGAAATTGAAAAAAAAAAACTTGTTCCAATACACGCGCACTTGTACCATGTGCATGGTGCATATGACCACGTCTGCATTTTGTGCCGTGCGCATGTGCCTCAACAGCACGGCAAACCGATGCAGCCACATACGAGACGGTTGATGTCTGGGAATGTTGGCTTTGCCCGGCTTGCTCGCATGCGTTTTTCTCATGTATATGCGTGTGGCCTCTCGCGTGCAGTGGGCAGTGCCCTCTCCACGGCACGGGACACCTCTAGCTTCCGTGAGTCGCGGCGCTCTGAGTACGAGGCGGTCCGCTCATCCCCCAGTCACCGTAGTAACCGCCCGGAGCTGCCAGTGAGGAGAGACTCGAGCAGGGGTGAGTCGGTGGCTTACTTGCGGCAAAAGGCCTGTACTGCAGGCCTTCAGCTCTCAGTTGAATTAAAATACATGATTGCTCCTCCGCGATAAGGTTCCAATGGAACTAACAAATTAAGGCATTATTTGAGGGGAGAGTTCTCGATGGCTTGTGAACGTGTCACAACTCTAAAGGGGAGCTATTCATTCAGTGCTACGTTTGTAACCGACGCAAATTGTGCATTGTTCTGGAGGCGAGGGTGAAGCCTTCGCAAAGTACATTGGAACTGTGCATAACTCCGCATTAAACATTGAGAGGGACGGGACGGCAGGCCCCCTTTACCTAAGGGTTACCCCCCGCCACACCTGACGGATGGGACAGCTGCATTGAGTGTATCCAGCGCAGTCGTCTACGTGGGGTCGTACGAATTTCGTGATGCGCTGTAACGCATCACGAAATAAATAAATAAAAAGTGAGAGGGACATTGCCGAGTCCCACTTTGGTGTTCCAGGAGAAAACTCATGCCCTGTGCCGAGTTTAAGCACTGACAATAAAACGGCCGCTGGGTCAACTTTAACACGGGCATTGCATCAATTCCAACACGTTAACCGCTGCTGCCCACCGCGTTACTAATTTTTCTCCATACCCATCAGTAACCCATGTGCTGGTTGTTGTACGAGTGTTTTTGGTTCTTGTATGAGTGTTTTTGGTTGTTGTACGAGTGTTTTTGGTTGTTGTATGAGTGTTTTTGGTTATTGTACGAGTGTTTTTGGTTGTTGTACGAGTGTTTTTGGTTGTTGTACGAGTGTTTTTGGTTGTTGTACGAGTGTTTTTGGTTGTTGTATGAGTGTGTTTTTGGTTGTTGCTCTGTGCGCAGCCGTTGGTTTTGTGTGGAGTGCCAGGAATTGTTTTGTGTTTTAACAAAGTTTGTTTGGGACACCCATCGCGTAATCCTCCTTGTCTCGCACAGGACTCCCCCCCCAGCCTTGCGCCGGCACTTACAGAAGTTCTTATGCCTCCCAAAATGTGGAGGATCAATCCCACACTCAGGTACCGGCTTCCATTGCCTCTTCTGCTCTAACATCATTGGCAGGCATCATAGTCTTGCGGTAGGCCCCCGGCTGAGGATTGGTGAGATATATATATGGGGTTGAAAATAAATATGGCCCTTGTGTTTTTTTTCCTATTCACTGAATTCTAAGTGAATAGACTCGACCAATGCTTTACCTATGTTTAGGAGATAGATGTTCAGGTCAAATGTTTTTTACTGTCTGTGGAAATGTCGCGCAGACTTTTTGCAGTGTGGTATAGCGCACACGAATCTTTGTAACCTTAGACTCGCATATGACCTTAGACTCGCATATGATAATTATTATTATTCCTGCCTGATTGTTTGTCCAGAAGGTTGTTGTATAATCAAATATGTATTAAGGCTAAAGGGGCAATTATACATTAAAAGGACACCAATGAAACTAGTATTTAGATTTTTCTTACCAAGCAAGAAATAGTTTTTCTTATTTTATCTGTATATAATGGACACATTGTTATTCCTTACACTGAAATGCTGACCAAAATAGACAAATTTCAACCAACCATGTAAACTAATAAGAATATTATATTCTTAGCTCACGAAAGCTTTAAATCAAAAAGAATATTATAGTCACGAAAGCAGCAAAATATGAGGGGGAAATGTCAACAAACATGGAATTATGTTTTTCTTTTTGAAACCGAACACATTTGGGAAAAATACCTATGGATTTTAAAAGGATTAATGATTGCAACACTATGATGCCTGATCATTACTTTCACTCTAACACTGTTGTGCAGCTCACTAATTAACAACGGACCAATTAGCATTCGTATTCTTTTGTCTACGATGTGTCCTATCCTAGTTTTTCGCCATTTAAAGCGGCATCGTATTTAACTTGCCGTGTTTAACTCCACGTGTCTCCGCGTCACCACCGGGGCGGCCACCGCGGTTTGCACAGACAACGATGAGAGCGACGCTGGCGGAGAGACAGCGGCGGGGCGACCCGTCACGCCGTGACTACGAGGCGGTGTACTGGACGGCGCGCCCGGTGCTGCCCGGCGCCAACGATTCGTTCTTCGACGAGCGGCTGCACTTCGCCGGCGACGCGTGCGGGACCCACGCGCGCCATCCACCGCCCGGCACCTCGGCCAACTACGTGGAGTTCTACAGCACGCGGCGCGCGGTGGCACACGCCGCCGCCGCCGCCCCCACCGCCGCTGCTGCCACCAGTGCAGTCGCCACCGCCGCAGCCACCGGGAGAGGCAACTACGACTCGCTGCACTACCGCGATGCAACGGACTCCTGGGTGTGAGCACCGGTCCGGTCCCGCGCGGAGTTGCTGAGCCGCTGGCTGCGCGTGTGCGTCAAGCGTTAAACATTAATAAGAGAGGAAAATAATTCTTTTTTTTTTTACAGGTGTGGTGTTTGCTAGTGGATACGATGGCCAACATTTGCTGATTGCCAATGTGTTGGTTTGATATGTAGAGTTTATTTTTTTCCTTTCATCTTTAGATTGATTTTTGTCTTCTCAAGAGTATTGTGTTTGCTAGTCCACATAATTTGCAGACGTTTAAAGGCTGATTAATGTCCACCTCCGCAGCCATTGACTTTATGGTTATTATGCTCGGAGGAAACATTTTTATTTTGTTTTATGATGTTGAAGAAAATAATTTTACTAGACGTGGGGGGAAGGGGGGATGTGGAGAAAGCATTTTATCTACATATAATTCTGCATTGCTGTGTGATGATACAGCTCTGCACAATGTGCGTGTACAAGGGGCAGTTCTAACGATCCGTTTGTACTGTGTTAAGTTTGGGTCTAAAGACAGCGGACATATTACATTGGACCACTGTTGTTGTCTTTAAACATGAACTGAAAATTCTGCTTTAAAGAGGGCAGGTAAAGGTTGTGTTGGTTTTTTTTTTAAGCGAACAAATGAATCCGATTAATTTAATATTGACAGATTAATGGGGTCAGATTATAGATGTGCAAACACAGGGGTAGGTTATAAAGCCCCTCTTAAGACGTGTGTGCATTCGTGCTTTTTCATACAGGTGCATACGTGTGTCGATACCAGTACGTATATCTCTCTGTGGGTGTGTGCACATGCGTTAACCTGAACTCTGATGTAAAATATTTTTTTGTGCCAGAGTGGCTTTAAACTCTTATTATTATTACAACTGTCATTGGCATCATTTTGCTTTTAATCTTTACCTTGGAATTTAGTTTCCATAAACTGTGGCTATTTAGCTTCTGTACTGCCACTACCTTCAGCCTCTTGTGAATATGGTATTTTAATTTCAGTCAGATTTTTTGCAATATTTCTTTTACAATGTCACCAAACACACTTATTAGTGAATTTACTTTTATTTGCTAAATTGAATTATATTGATGCACACACCAATGAAGGTTCTGGGTGACGTGACAAAGAGAAGACATTTTATTTTAAATAAGCAACCCCCCTCCCAACCCTCTTTTTTATGGAACATTCCACGCTGTGTGGAGCATTTGATTTGGAGCGTACCATTATGGAAAACGTGGGAAATATGGGTGGAAAATAAAGGGACGTACATTGGTGCATGATTAATAAATTGAATGGGTTATGAAACCCATTTCGTTATCTGTCCCATGGCAAATGAAATGTGACGTTTAAGTATAAAACATTATCACTGATTATCACTGACTTTCAGCGGTGGCTCATGGCTCTAATATGTTAGAGCGACGACCTTGGCCTCCGGTTTTTCAGTCTCGGGTGACGCGTTCGTGTGGATTAATTGACGATTGGAACACAGTGGCTGTGGTCATTTCCTCAGCACATGCAGTCCCGTGCAGCTTCCAAAGAAAACTGGTCGACCGTTGGGTGACAATGGTGCATTATGCAAGTTGCCTTCACATTTCAACGATTAAATATGCCTGTACGCGTCAAACCAGATTGCAAAATCCAGTCGCTTCTTGAAAGTGGAGCCGTGAGCTGACAACTGTTGACTAGAAGTAACGCAAAATGCCAAGCCTACTGATTTTTAAGGGGTAAGCTCCCGATTTTAAAGCCCTTGTGCCACATTTTCAAAGCAAGGATTGCATCACAACTGAAACAAGAATATGTAATTCATAATGCGGTATATTTAGCCTTGAAAATGTGTGCAGTAAACGGGTTTAAAAATTACAATCCTACCACTTAATCGATTGGATTGGCGAGTATGTAGTAATATTGTAATTTCGATAAAGTGAGAGGCTGTGATTTAAAGACGTGCATTATCACCATTTAATATGGACCAATCTGTGTTATGTTTTAAAATGAATCGCGTGTGAACGCATGTTTATTTTGATTCAAATTTTTGCCATTTAATGGCCATTTTAGTTTGTCTCTATGGTCGAGATAAATCAGGTTTCATGCTTGTATTGTATCTACAGATGTAACTATACATTTCTTGCATTCCAAATAGCGGGGCAGATTTGGCACAGGAACTTGAGCGTGTATTTTTTTGTTACCTAAACAGGGTCTTCTACTCGCAATACATTGCAGTCACTAAACAACGTAAAAATGAATGCTTAATTTCATTTTTACCCATTTAAATTTAGTTGACTCAAATTATTTTTTAAATTTATATAACAGTATTTTCATAATTGCCATGATTTTGACATAATTCGGATACTAAAATACCATACACATGTCATATAGATCTCAAAACAAAATATTTCCACCAAAATAGCTATGAGTACTGTCCAGGCAGATTGTATCTGATTTCCCTTTCAACACCCCGCTCTGTATATGAAATGAATCCCTTCAAATACCCCACACACTCTTTGGTGGACTGTACCATTTTGTATGTAAGGTTGATGTTTCGGCCTAACAAGTCCCCACATAGTTGTACTCTGGTGACTGAAGTTGATTGGCAGGTGTCTGTGCTCTGACAGTTCCTCTTACATTCTTTCTGATTGTTGACAGGAACTCCACGGTCTTCAGTAGACATGTAGCCAATCACGTGCAAGCATTGTTGTCACATGGCAATTTCAAACCAGTCGATTACATTATGGTTGAAATCATACGCTAGGCATCGTCATCTTTCTGCTGTAGCATGAGGTGGTTTTGAAACGCTTCGAGTTGCTGTCAGGTGGTTCGCTATGTACAGATTTACGGTTCTCTTGCTATTTCCGCAGACAAAAATATATTTTCTCTGCTTGGGTCATGTTTAAGATGGTGGCCTTCATAGATAGAATAAACCTTGTTTTCTTTTATGGTATATTTAGGTCTAATTTAATTTAGGGCTTCATAGTGGGATTATGCAAATTTTTCCATCAGACAAGGAACGGCAGAATATGCAGAATATTGTAGGAGTTCGCGCAAGACATTGGGATCTTACTGCCTATATTTACATAGAAAAAAATCGCCCTAAATACACCCAGACTCCTTGATTATTGGAAGCTAAGTAGGGTTTGAGCCTGGTTAGTAGTTATTTGGGTGACCACAAAGGCTTTCCGTGCATTGCAGATTTTGGACTGCAAGATGTGGCCGGGAAATGTTGGTGCTGAAGGTCACCCTCTCGTATGCACGGTGGATCTTCGGGTACCCTGGTTTATTCCCACACAAAGCCAAAAAACACTCCTTAATATAATTGGAAAAATATCCCAATTCAGCAGGACCCTGGTGAAAAAGTATTGAGGCTAAGTGAGTTTTGCCTCGGTAAATAAGTGGCATTACCACAATACCTTGATATGAACCACAATACCTTGCTGATCTCCTCAAAGAGCATCAACCATCACGCGAACTCCAGTTATCCTCGTAGCGGCTTTTGGCTAACCATCGAACAAAGAGTGCTTTCAGATGCTCTTCTGCAGCCGTCTGGAATGCTCTACCGATATTAGGAAGCCACTAAAGCTATGCACTTTTAAATCTAGATTGAAAACACATTTCTTTACCACTGCTTTTTGTGTTTAGTTTGTTGCCCTTCCCTCTCACCGATTAACACGGTTGGGCTATGTACGTTGTGGAAGAAGTTCAACACACACACATTACTGTAGTAGTAGTATTATACATTCAGGTTGGAAATGGCAACAAATTCAGACAATGACGTGGAATTGTACCGATTTGCCCCGTGCTTTGGCCTCTATGGCCCACTGTGCAGTTTTCTCTTTCATGTTGGATCAGCGGTGTTTTTGGATTGTGGCTGGCGGATGGTGCAGAAAGGTTTTGGTACGTTTACGACTCACGGTGTGTTTGCTGTATTTTAGGGTTGTGGGACGTGAACACCCAGCTTTTCGTGGTTGGTTGCAAATTGGGTAGAGAGAGGGCTTGGCTCTGAGTTTCCCTAGCCAAGGAAGTGAAAGTCAAGATGGCGTTAATCCTCTATCATTAATACAAACATTCACAGGTTTTTAACCGAAGTTTTCTGCATTCTCGTGCGTTGTGACCCAAGATCAAAAAATCAATACCCCACACTGTAGCTTGGCAAACAAGTAATTATCATCAACTAGTATATTCACATGTTTTTCAAATACATTTGCATCAGTTAATGTTGATTGAGTGACTGCAACCGTGGTAATGTTTACATGTATACACAACTTAATTATAGAAAGGAAAATTAATTACTGTATTGTTCTATTGCAATTGAAATTGCCTCAAACATTTACAAATTAACTAACACAACTCACCAAAGCCTATCCGATGCATGATACATTCAAGTTTTGTAAGTCCTTGTACCGTAATTTTTGCTCTGTATTTAAGGAACATATTAAGTCTTGGTAACACATGCATGTGATAAAACGACATGCTGTTAGAAAGTATAGTACAGTATGGAGTGTTAAGTAACGCTCATAGATGGAGTAAGAACATTTAACACACTAACTTTTTAAAGCGTTTAATGTACAAGACAATGATGACTCGGTACCCAAGTCTCTGTGCCGTCAGTGATCACGATGAAATGTTTGGATAGTTGCTGGCATAAGCAGAAATGGTCAAGTCCCACAAAGGCCTTGTACTGCCTTTGCTGTGCAAGGTTAATGAGCCTTGTGGGATTTTATAAGTGAAAGGGGTTTAACGTGGGTTGGTGGTGGAGGATGGGGACTCGTCTTTGGGCGGATAGGGATGCTGGGATGCTTGGAATGTGCTTGTGAAGGACAGATGGCATGTGATGTAAATGGTTTGCGGTTTGAGAAGCAATTGGTTTCACGGTGTAATTTTATTATGAAATTTACCTTTACACGTGACATTATGTAGGAGCCACTTCTAATTATTTGAGATATACACCGTGTGTGCCAGTGTGCGTGCACGCATTGTACATTTGCTGTTTTGGCGTGAGGGGGTGCTGTACAAACTACAGATAAGTAGCACGACATGCAACTGGTTTAACTTTATTATTTAGCATTGCTGGTTCATATATGGATTGTATGTGATTTCACTATTGGCTGCCTTCTATACCTTTGATTTTTTTTAATACATATAATGAGACTCTTTTTCGAGCCCGGCATATAAGGACGAGCAAAATAAACCGTGGTCCTGCAGCCTTGGAGCAGACACAACGATTTCACACGATGTAATAAAACTATGGCACAGTTTATCAGAAGCAAAACGTGTATCGATCAATGGTTATGTACAGGATTCTCGTGAAGGTTTGTTTAGTCTGCATTTTTGAAGGAGAACACAATGTTTGAGTTGCATTTGGTGGCCACGTTGGGTGGAATTTGGAAAAATGAAAGGTAGGGACATGTTTTTTTTTATGACAGTACCCTTAACGATGGAAGTATTCATCATTATTGCCTATACCTGTGCGGCCTTACACCTGTGCGCCCTACATATGTATGCTCTACACTTGGATGACCCTCCACATGTGCGTCGGTCACACTTGTATGGTTCTATACCTGTATGGCCCTGCACCTGTATGGCATTGTACCTGTATCGCACCTCACCTGTACCCCCGTACACATGTACAGCCATGCAGAATTCATTAAGGTATCAATATGTAAATATTAGTGGAGTGTAACACTTTTGAAGGTTGTTTTTTTTATTACCATCGTTAAACCCATCGTTTCACTTAACCATCGTTTTTTATTGTCCGAGAGAGAACTACTTAACATATTTTGATGTAGCATATATCATGAATTCAAAGCAGGGGCAATACATGATGGGGATAGTTCTCTAAAGTGAATCTTAGAGCCCACTGTGATAGGACTAAAACAAGATTGAATGATTATGCAGAAATTCATTTTTCAAATGTTTGAGTAAATACTTAAATTTTGCAGTTGTCATGTTTTTTTGTGTCATTTTGAAAAGGCTGAGAGTGGGTCTGTTTGATTACCATTGTTTGAGGCCATGGTGCTGTTGTGATGACTAATTGACAGCTATGATGTGTCAGGTATGCATCGGCTTTGGCAGGATTGTCATAATTGGTGTGCTCACTCAGTGGTGGACATGTATTGGTTGAGTTGTGTTGGCATATAAAGTGCTCTCTGCTCCTCATGGTTCACAGGACGATCCATTTATAGATACCGCACAAAAATGAATGGCAAACATGACAGAGAAAACAACATTTAAAATTGAAAGCCTCTACGGCTCCCCACCAATCTCAATACACGCATGCAAGCTTGTAACACTCTTGATATCGTTTGTACGTCGTAGGTATCACAGTATTCAATCACCTTGTTTGGAAGAAAGTAAGGGGATCATTTGAAATGGGTGGAGTGCCTAAATGCATCGTGTGCTATCTTTGTTCTATGAAGTGTGGAAGGCGAGATGCAACACAAACTACTGTTTGGCACCTAGAAACAGGTATCCACATCTGATGCAAATAGTAAATACATTGTGAAGCTAAACATTTGTTTTGCCCAAAAATCTAAACACCACTCACGTAGCATTCTGGTTTCGCCAGGCTCAACTTTACATGACTACCAGACATTTTACCACGATTTGTGGCTCGTAACCCAAGTTTAGACTCGAGCAGGACCCCAGCTTGGGTTGGGGTTCTTTGCCTGTGATCACAGTGTGTGGTACAGGGACCCCACTACCAAATTGGCTGTAGCAACTAACAGATCTGCGCAAAAAATTGTGAATTACATGGTTAACTCGACTCCAACTGGACATTACAACACACCACTATAGCAATGTGCCAATTTCATGAATAAAACAGGATATGCTATTAATAATCATTTTGCTTTGATTTTAGCAGACGTAACTGTGCTTGGATATTGAAAAATGTATTATACCAAAAAGTACACAAAGTAGGTGGTTCGATTATTAATTAATACGGTGATAAACAGTGTTTACTTTCAGAAGTAACCTTTGGGTGTTATAGTACCAGAGTGTGAGCTGCGATGACAGTGCCCCATATCACCCTATAGAGTTGTGCTCCAAATTAAA